TTCATGAAGAAAATAGTGCAATTCCTCTGGGACATGCACCCATGCTCAAAGCCAGGTCTAAATAAGCATTTCACTGTAATCAAACCCAGACACCAAAGAAGCCCAACAATGTTATTTGCTCAGTCCTTTGCATTTTGCAGCCCTGTGTCCTAGCAAGAGGTTTGGTGGAGTTTCAAGGCCCCTGTCACAAGAAGCACAATGTTCCAATACTGCTGCACATCCTCAACAACCACTTCTTCAATACCATGCAATTAATTGTCCAACAGTTACTGTGTAAGCAAATTAGTTCTCATGTTTGGTATGCTCCATGAGCTCTACATTTGGAACAACAGCACTTCTCTTTACTGGAGTTTCTTAGTAAGTCTCCCTGTGTATTTCCAATGACCAACAGTAGAAATTACATTTAGGCAATGCAAGACAATGAATCATCTGATTTAAACACATTACGTATGTTAAGCATAAAAATAATTAATTTGCCAAAGACAAATAAATAAGGCTTATTCACTAGTGATGAAAGGCTGAAAAATGTTCTTGTGAATTCTATTTTCACAGTGTCAAATTAGTGACAGTTCCTGCCACAGGAAAACACAGGCTGAGCTTCTATGTGCAGAAATGGGGAGAAGAACAGGGATATGCAATACAGAATTTTTATTGTAATGTACAAAGACTTCAAAAAATATCCTCCTATTTAAATGCCTACTGCCTTAACACAGAAATAAAGAAAAAACAAAAGTTAACTTATCATGAGGCACCAGTTATAGAGAAAGCATAGCTTTGTTTTCAACATTAGCATTTGTTGTTAGTCAGTATCCAGGACAACTGACAATCAAATGCAGCAGCAAACACAACGCTGAATATATTTTCTAAAAGGTCATTATAATCACGTGCTGCAAATCTTTAGCTAGTATTAAAGCTGGCCATTTGAAACAGTGCAACATTTCCTTCTTGGAATCATGTATTTAAAATCCACTTTTTAAAAGTTAAATTCAAAATAAAGAAATAATTCATACATTTCAAAATAACTAAGAACATTTTTCATCTTAAAAAGCTCCTTAATCTATAATTGGCTTTCTTTTAAAATCATCTTTATTGTGGGAGCCTGCATAAATTGTTTAAATTTACTAGTGCAAGGCTGGTTCTTGGGAAATAGTAAGAGAGCTTTTACTGATCATTAGGGAAAGTGACTGTGAATTGCACCAACTAAAGTATTTTTTCACTCTGCTATCACAGATCATGAATCAGAAATAATAGCAGTAATCACGTTTCAGAAATGAGGATGTAGCTATGAAGCTTCCTAACTCCCACTCCATCAGTGTTATAATCCCAACAAGTTAAATAAATCCCTTACTTCTAACACAATAAGTAGAAAAAAAAAGGGAAAAAAAGAAAAGAAAAACAAGAAGAGAAAAGAATACCTTGAATGCTGTTGCTTTCTTAAGATTTCTTAAAGTCAGAGATGAACATAACTAGTCAAATTCTGCAGAAAGGTTTGCTTTTGGTTTGATGTTTTTAAGGTAGCTTTTTAACTTTATTTTATTTAACATCTCATGTTAGCAAACTTGAATGCTCCACTTTTTGATAGGTATGTGCTGCTTGTTTACAAAGCACCACCACATTCTAGTGTGTATGAATGAAGGAGACAACAGAAAAGCAATCCTAAGGAAAGCACAGTACTGGAAGAAAATTATGACAACAACCACTAAAGACAAAATATCTTTTACTAAAAATCATCTAGGTTGTCTGAATTCACATCAGCATGAAAAAACCTGTTTCTTGGGAACCTCCAAAATGTCTGTTCTTTTCTGAATATCAAAAAAGAAGGGACAAGCAACTGAGTAAACTGCAAGACTCTGAAAAGAGCTTTTGGCCTTCCACTGGCCTGCGAGTTCTGGCAAATAGCTGCAGGCATCAGAGAAAATCCTTGTCCTCTGGTCACAAACAGTCCAGAAACAGAAACACAATCATTTCCAGTGTCAGAGATCATGTGAAGTTTGTCATTTTGACAAAAGAGCTTCCCTTCACAAAACACTTTCCAAACGTATTGGCGACATCAGCAAAATGTTTTCAAGAGGATAGAAAGAGCAAATGAACATTCAAATTAGAACATTTTTAATGTTTGGCCTTCAACAGCTTGTCTGAAAGACACAGTACGGAAGGGATATGCGATGACTAAGAAATTCCTCCTGCCCAATTCATATTTATGGATCAATGTGAAAAGTACATCAACCTCAAATATTTAAGTCTCGTTATGAGATGGCAAGTAGACAGAAACTGGTAACTTAGAAAACTTTAAAAATACTAATTAAAGTTTATGATGCAATAATTTTACACAATCTCATTTTCTGTGTGTAAGACTATGAAAGCTGTGGTTCACTATGGTTTATTTGTTTATTTTCAAATGCCCAAAAAAAGCCTGTCACTTTTCCAGCACTGGTAGTAGGTAATGCTTCACTGCCAAAGTTTCTGTCTGTAATATCCACTCTTGCAGTGTTTCAGAACTTCACTATAAAATTCTGATTTGCTAAGATACTGACCTTGGAAAATTTGTCTTAATAATTTTCTCTTTATAGAAAGATTTTTTTTCCTGTGCCATAAATGCACATTTTCAACAGATTTCAATCACTTGTGATGTTCTGGCTAATTCTAGTAGGTCATATAATCATGTTTTGCATGAGTTTATGAGAATAGAATGGCAACAAATACAGAACAACATTCCACTTGCTAGGAAGGAAATGTATGCAATATTGGTTATAGGATGCCTTGGGTAGTTTCACCATTTGAAGCTTTGCACTTAACAATCTAAAATTATTGACTTTATGCATAATGTTGATTAAAGACTGGAACAATTACCATCAGAGCTGCTGGCTTCTGAGGTTTCCTTCTGTAGCAGGAATGCCTGAGATGCGTAAGAAGCATTGTTGGGACTGCCCCTATACATGACCCAAAGGATTAGGACAGCTCCAAAGTAGCAGCAGTGTTTCTGTGTTGTAAATTGCAGTGGTGCAAGAGCTGCTTCCCATATAATTCTTCCCTCTGTGCCAGAGGGCCGTATTCTGTGTGAGACAGAGGTGTTATGGATGTCTGGGGGTCAGAATAAGCCAACACTCCACTAAATGTGTGTTTTTTTCCTTCCTTGATGGCCACCTATGTGGCCCTGAGCTGTGTTTATATGCAAGAGCTCCTAGAAGCAGGGCTTAAGTCTGAATTCAAATCTGAGAAACAATGAGTTTAAAGGCTTGCTGTGTTATGTTGTATATTGTAGTATATACAAAGAGTTCTGCGCAAAATATCTCAGTGTGATCATTACAAAAATCTAGATAAAATCAGTGCAGCAAGAACCTCTTTACTTTCTGACTCCTTCATTAACTGGGATTCTGAATAAACACTTCCCATCTGAGAGAAAATAATGGACCTAAACTTCATGACTATTTGGTACCGTTCCTGTGAACACGGTCATGTGAAAGATCAGGTATCAGCAAGGAGCTGATACACAGAGCACAGAGAAGCAGTGCACATTCCCATCCTCATTAACCCTTCAGAAGTCCAGCTGCAGGGTGTCAGAGCACCTCTGACAGGGAGCAGCTTACGTTCCCCTCCAGAAGTGCTGGTTTTACACAGGTAGGGTGTGTGCTTCCCTCTCTGCACTGCACATCTGCACAGCCCCAGGTGGAAGCTCTTTGCTGGAGAGCAGGGCAGGCAGATGAGGTGTCACCTGATGAGGTGTCACATCTTCCTGTGTGTGCAACCTTTATTAGAGGGTACAGCTTTAATTCTCTCCCATTACTCTGTAGGGATGCACATAAGGAATGGCCATCAGCCTCTCCCCCATCAGCCTCTCCCAGGCACCAGGACTGCAGGCAGCACTCAGAGCTGCTTTCTTCCATTGTCTTTACACCCTTCTACCAAAAAAGGCACCAATAACTGCACAATGCAGTCCAAATAAAACTCCAAATATAAGCAAACTTTCTTTCTATAGTTAAGGAAAAGATGAGTGCATATGCTTATGTTTCAAAATGCAAATACCAATGCAGTGAAAGTATATTTGCAGTAAAATGCACATCTACACTGATCTACAGCACAGAATAAAGCCACCCACTGCCTACCAATCTAAACTTTTCTGAATGATACCTTTTTATTTTATAAATCTATTGAACTTGATTTAGTAAATGTATCCATAATTTAAGTATGTGTGTGTGTATATATATATATATATATATATATATATATTTAAGATATGGCTGAATATAAGTTACATAAATAAGTATTCAAATTAAATTTTCAGTGGCACTGTTTATCACAAGAGGAATATGTATCTGTGCATCAGAAAGATCTGTATTGTGCTCTAATACAGACTGGGAAATAAGTTGACTATGACTTCAGAACCACTTTACATCTCACCTGAAGCTCCAAGATGCATTTTAATCTTGCTTTCAGTAACATAAACATGTTATAGCAGATACAGAATAAAAACATTATATAAAAATTAAAATAATAATCTTCTCATCTTTCCCTTGAGAAAATGAAAACCACATACAACTTGATGCTATCCAGGGAAGTATTTAATTACTATACTAGTGGATATGATCTAACAGCCTAATGAGACCACTTTGCTACTGGCTGTTACAGCCCTATGAAACATATTGTTAAATTCAGCTGTAACCACAACAATTGGTATTTTGGTATAACAAAACACAGAATAAGGCAAAGGTTGATGAGCGGAGCAAAAACAACAGGTAGAAGAAGACAAAGATACAAAACCAAGAAAACTAATTAAAACTAAATACAATAACTAATTTTCCTATTCAAAATTTATTTATCTTACTGTTGCACTAATCTGCACTAGGAAGCTAATTTTTTTCTGATTCTGAGAAAATGAATATTTCTAATTTGCAAGAACCCATGTACTGTTGATCCTCATTTGACATTCAGCAGTATTAGTTTCATAATGCTCTTTTCAGTGCCAGCATTCCAGCTATTGATAAAGGCAAAATGCAACTTACGTAAGTTATTTGGAGGAGGTCTCGTCTCCATGTTTTCATAATGCTGCACATGTACTACAATGTTTAGATCTCTTTCCATATGATCTGTTGTACAAGGACCTTGAGGTCGCATAACATCAGCAAGAGCCCTGAAATCCAAACAAAACCAGAATGAATCTGCAAAATCTGTATGACATTAACAATATGTTCCAAGATCTATTTCAGTTTGCGATGCAGTCGATTATGTCTGCTGGAGAAACCAGCTCCCTTCACAGTAAATGCAGGGAAGTAAATTCATTGTGAGACTTCACACCTAAGGCTCTTTTTAGGTTGTCTTACTGACAGCCTAAAGTTGCTAGAAGTAAAACACAGAAACACATTAAGTTCTTTAGGTATCTTGGCTTTGGAGGAACATATTTTAAGCTCCTTGAGCCTTGTAGAATTCTGCCTCTGCATGTGCTCAGCAACATTTATTGCCATCTTGGTTAAGCTGAGCACCTCAGCACCTAGCCCATGGCTACACCTTTCACAAACTGCTTATCTTCACACCTAGATTACCAATTTCAAAGGAAATTCTCACACATGCATTTGTATTTAGCACACACAGCATAGTGGTCTTCATTCAAAAATGTCACTCAGGTTGATAAGTCATATAACTTCCATGCAGAAATCCAGTAAGCAGGGATGTAAGGATTTCTCATCCAGATGGGGAGATAAAAAAGGTCTTTTTCTAACTTCTGTGAGTGTCCTAGTCTTTAACATAGAGCAAAGCTTGCATAGGAACACTCCCTGCTCCTTTGAAGGCAGTTCGGAGACAGGATGAAAGCTTTGTGCTAGCAAAGAGGGAGTAAGCAAAAGGCTCCTCAGTGAAGCCAGGCCCAGGCTGGTGCTGCCTGTGGGCTTGCCCTGCAGGGCTCCAGGCAGGCAGACAGACTCATCCTGCTCTGGTGGCTGTGCAAGGACCAGAGTGTCCTGCTGAGTGTAAGTGCATCCTTAGGCACTCGGATAAACACACACACCTGGATCAGCCCTGTGCAGCCAGAGTTACTGACCAAGTTCTAAGCTCTGAAACTCCCAGCATGGCAGCATCTAACTCTGTCTGTGAGTCTGTGCTATTTTGCCAGAGTTCCACAGGAGCAGGATTAGTTCTTACCTACGTGCCAGAGCTACCTGCTGAACTACCGTGCCCTAGGAAATAATTGGCCCACCTGCAGAAGCTGTTGCCTTAGGCAAAGGAAAGCTTTGTATGTGTAGTATGTGTTACCAGTGTCTTCAGTGCAAATCCTTTCTATTCAGGTCAATGCATTATGGACCATTTTTTACCTCCTTTTTGTTTTATTGTTTTTAATTTTTAGACCTCTTGAGCAATTTTTTAAGGGTGTGGACATATTTTCTGGGCACTAAGCCCAGTTTAGTTTAATTTTCTACAAAATTATATACAGTGTCCCAGATACTGCATCAAGAAATACTGGCTTATAAACTAATATATAAATAAATGAAAAATAAGCACATTCCTTGGTGAAAGCCATGGCAAGTGTCATCTAACTCCTCCACTGTACTTCTGTGACATTATGATTTCTCAATCAAGAAGCCCTACTTATTAAAAAGTAAGTAGTTTCCATTAAGTTACAGAGAAAAATCCTGAGCTGGATCTTGCTTTCAGATTGCTGGAACATTGCTTATACAGCTGACCAATACTGATGTTTTCTTGGGTTTATGACTAACATTATGTTATTAAGACATTAGATACAGTTGTGATCAACATGTTAGAGAATACTCTGTTGATCCTGGAAAAGGTCAGAAGACAGTAACCACATGATTAATGGTATCAGAGTAATGCTCCCATTTGAAGCAGTGCTTAGACTGCAGAAATAGCAGAGCTGGCCTACATAGCAGAATAATAAAAATTCAACAGAAGAGATCTCACAAAGACATGTAGAAATGATGAAAAAGGAAAGCATTATATTGCAAAAACAATTTAAAATAAGTGGAGACCAAAACCATTAATATCTAATCAATTTATGCAAATATATCTCTATACAGAGGAAATTATTGACATCAATATTAATTCTAATTCCAGAGGCAGCTGGACACATTTCTGGGAAGGGAAAAAAAAGTAAATGAAAGTTCCTAACTCCAGTGTGGGAGTTACAACTGTGAGATCTAAGTATTTCCCCACTTTGTGAGAGTGGGTTTTCAGACATCCTTTCCTCATTGCCCTCAGTCTCATGGTAAATATTGTTTGCTGTAGACTTTAAATAACACTCTGTATGATGGCAGATGAACTACTGCCTGTCTATGAAAATGCTAAGTTTTCTACCAGTTCAGGGTAGCTTTTTTCAAATGGTTTTCAAGGAATTACCTGTACAATTCCTTCTGTATTAAGAAAAGATTAACTACTCGCCCTCAAGTTCTGGTTTTAATAACACAGCATCTATACTGCGTTAGCCAAAGTTGCACAATCTTCCCAGGGCAGAATAGCTCCTGTAACTGAGAGCATGTCCTTATTCTCCACCGATGTCAGACAGAGTTAAAATGTGTAGCAGCTTCAGTATCACTGAAGTACAAAGGAAATGCTGTACCTGCATTTTGTTCTTTTAGGGATTTGCCCACACCAGCTCAGGGTAGTTTTTTCAAATGGTTTTCAATTCCTTCTGTACTAAGAAAAGATTAACTACTCGCCCTCAAGTTCTGGTTTTAATAACACAGCACCTATACTGCGTTAGCCAAAGTTGCACAATCTTCCCAGGGCAGAATAGCTCCTGTAACTGAGAGCATGTCCTTATTCTCCACTGATGTCAGAGAGAGTTAAAATGTGTAGCAGCTTCAGTATCACTGAAGTACAAAGGAAATGCTGTACCTGCATTTTGTTCTTTTAGGGATTTGCCCACATAATGAAATGGATAAAGGGAGGCTTGTTCCCCAGTACATGACAAAGTCCTTGAACAGATGTTTGCTTTGAAAAATTCCACATAGGCCAGGAGAATTTTAAAATACCTTCATGCATTTTTCTCACCTAAATATAGTCATATAGATTTTGTTCATTATCTGAAGAAATTGTTATAGTCTGTCACATTGAAAAGTTAAGCTTTACACAGAGGGTCTTTACCTACAGCTATTTACCTACTGGATGTTTTTTTAAGGAAATGCAAAGTGCAAGAAAACCTTCTAATCAGGAAGCAGTGGAGGGATATTGGTTGTAGTATTACAAAAATGGAGAAGTGTTAAATATGTAGGAGTTCATGGCCCAGAATTATCCAAGTATCACAAAACTTCAGCATTTGTCTTGCCATAAGAGTTTTCTTTTTGGATATGTAATACTGGGTTGGGGTGCTATAAAGCATATATAAAGCATGTGGAGCCAGGTATTTCCCTTATGGGTACAAGCTGAAACACAAGTTATTTCATGAAAGATCACTTGTCATATTTTGCCTCCAAAACTGGGTCAAACCCATAAGGGAAATAATTTCACACATTGGATTCAGTATTTTGGCAAGCCAGGCCATTTTTGGACCCAACTACATGTCTTTTAAATGATCAATAAAAGACTTCAGTCCTGAGCTCAGCACTGGGCACTTTCTCCCTTGTGAAGGGAGAAGGAAGAGCTCAGATGGTTCACGATATTTGTAGGACTGTAACACACTGTCAGAAGGACTGTTTTAAAAAACAGGACTTACAGCATAAGAGCATGATTGTAAACATTTTCCTTTCAGTTCTTGGTTTGTTTGCATATTCTCTGCAAGGATTAAGGAAGAAGACAAAGGTGCAGTTGTATTTACAGAATAATCTCCTCCATGCAACAGAGGTAAAGCTTTTTCATTTTCTATTCATTTTTGAGAGAGAATTCTCCACTTGAACTGATGGAGCCTGGCAGGCCCATTGGTGTAGTCTCAAGCAGCAAGAATGTGCTGCCCTCATATGCCTAACAAAGCTCCTGGTCTGCTTCAGCAGGCAGATAAATCTGTGTCCTCTCATGCACAACACTGCCACGTTCCCTCCCTCTGCCATAGCTCCCTCCTACACCATCTGATTTCCTTGTTCTCCTCAAAAACAGGAGGGGAAAGGAAGAGCTACTCTGGATACTACTATTACTGCTTAGTCTTGGACATTGTAGCTGAAGGGAATACTCATCTCCTTTTAACATCAAGGAACAAATTTTAAAATAAGGAGAAACAAAACATGCAAGGTCTAAAATGAAATGCTCCATGCTGAGTTACTTCTGTGCTCCACTCTCCATGTTCATCTTCCAGATTTACAGTTCCATGCCAACAGAAAGAAAATGTCAAGAGTGCCATACCTGCCCTGTTTCCCCCAAACAAAAGAAGTAACAAGTCCTTTTTCTCTAAGAAAGGACAAGTCTTGACTTTTTTTTTTCTAAAGAGAGTCACCCAAAAGAGACTTTTTCATATGGATTTTTTTCACTGATTAAATATATTTCCACAATGTTTTTTTTCATTGTCAAATATATCAGGAAAATTTAGTGACATTAATGTAGTGCTCTTGGTTTGTTTTGTTATAGTAGTAAACAAAATTTAATGAAAGGTAGCTGTATGGAAGCTATGCTCAGTTAATAAAGAAAACTTTCTTTATAAATATTGTACCACTCTTACACACACCAGTGTCTTACTTCAACAGCAGATCTACTGACTGCAAGATGAAGTACTGCAAGAAATTAAAAAGTGTGGCACAGTTTTGCTTCTTATTTAGAAGTCAATGTTCTTATTCCCATGTGTCAAGTCTCTGTTCATATTTTGGAATATTTTTAGTAAATCAAAAAATGGAAATCTATCATTTACACCAGTTATACTTAATTGTTCATTTTTCTTAAATAATCAGCCCCCATTAAGAAAATCAGTTTCCATCCTGCATTGTCTTTTTTGATAAGCAGTACTATCCATTTCCTAGGTGAATTTGTTCATAGAAATGAAGGGGATTCAAATTTTTCATGTACCATTGGTTGGGCAAGGGAAAGGACACAATCTTAGCTAAGGAAATAGATGACAAATCAGTCTCTGTGTGTTTCTTGCTGTCAGCCAAAATGGAGTAACACTTAGTACTTTTGCTTTGGCCTACCTAACACTCTTGATGCATTAAACTTCTGCTTATTAATAAGGTTCAGTATAGAAAAAAAAAAAAAACAAAACGTAGGAGGTGTTCTTTTTTGCTTTGTTTTTCTGATATTGTAGTGATGAATATTATAAAAGAAGGTGACTATGAATACAGCCTACATATTATGTCAATTGTTGGTACTATTAACTGTTTGAACAGATAAATTATTTTTAAGCATTGCAGCCTTTTTTCAGAACATTAGTAGTGTAAAATGAGCTAGAATAAATTATTTTAGTTAAACACTCACTTGAGGACTAAGAGGTTACTTCAATTCTTCGTTCAATGAATATATTTATAGATTGCAAAGGGATTTACAAATCTAATTCCCTTTCAAATTAATGTTAAACCTATCCCACAACTGGAATAAGAGAGAACTTATTAAAAAAAAAAGAAGCTATAGATCTTCTTTTTCAGAATATGACTAGCTATTATGTGTACTGAGTGGGTGACTGTTTTGCCATGTGATCATGACTTTCCAAGTTTCTATATAATCTTGCCTTGAACAGTTTCATGTACAAGATCACAGATGCTGTTAAGTAATCAAGGTAACAGACGACCTTTGCTAAGACCCACTCCAGAAACCTAATCTTTATGCATACATGACTCAAGGATATGAGAATGATTTTCCAATCCCCCATAATTCTACTTCCATAAACTGAGACAGACTATCCTTTCAGAACACTTCACACCTGTACTTTACATGGCAAATATTTCTACTCACAGAAGCAGGACCTATTTAAGCCATAATTCACAGGGATGGCTATAACTTCACTCTGTTCTGGGCTTTGTGAATGTTATGAGCCCTCTCTTTCCCTGCACAAAGACCCTATAGAGAGAGACTGAAGCAAGGAAGAGCTTTTTGCAAACAAGCTCTGGGGATTAAAATTTAAAAAATAAATTGGGACCTATGTATTGTTTCAATTTATATTCAAAATGTATATTCTCAATTTATATTCATGTCTATTCATGTCTAAAATTTCTAAAGGATTATCATACCTTCCTCAACAAAAACCATCTTTCCAGAAGTATCACTGACACACTCTGTTGACTAAAATTTCTGCAATGTTCTTTCTTCCTCAGCAGTAAAGCATATCCATATCAACCAGTTTATAAATAGCAAATAATAGCTTGTGAACTGGTGATGCATTTTCAGGAGTATTTCTGTGACTTTCTCTGTTCATTTCAAAATAAGCAGTTAATCAAAAAGTCATGCAGAAACTTCAGTAAAAATGAGGCTCCAGGTGTTGAGTTGATCTCTTGGACTGTCTTTCAAAGGATGATTCTTCATCTAAGCTTTAAAGATTGTGGGCTACACCATTAGCAGTCGGGGCAAGAGGAAGTTTTCTGCCACACTGCACGTCCAGTAGAAGGTATCCTTTCATTGCATTTCATCGCTGAAGTTGCCCAATATGCTGGGATCTATTTAGACTCTTTAATGGGTCTGTTTGCCTTTTTTAATGCCTTCCCCCCATCTGCTTTACTTTCCTGTGCCTGGGATTAGCATAAAGAATCAGACAGGCTGCAAACTTGACAAATGTGTTATGCCTTGATTTTGAACTGCTGTGACAATCTGGTTTGGAATATGTTGTTAAAGACACTGGGCTCTGTCCCGAGTTGCCCACCTGCCTATCCACCACTAGGCAGCCAGGATCTGGAGTAGATGGTACACAGCATTCCTAACTCTGCGTGGGGGAGGTTCTCTTTGCTATAACTCAGCCATTACACCGTGGAGACAGTTAGAACACACACATACATGCATGAGGCAAGACTTTCGTATTCCATTTTTTACCTCTCAACAGTAACTGAAAAAATGTTAAGAAATTCTACAATAGCTTTTCCTTTCTGTGTCTTCCTCTTCCCTTCCACCCTGACTCATTTTCACAGCTTAGAAATTTTACAAATAGCTCACACACTTGCAAGGGCTGGAGGAGTAGGGAAGGTCCTGCCAAAACCATTTTGCAGCTGGAGAGGGAGGGTGAGATGGCATTTGTTTACATCCTTCTGTTGAGAAGTAAAAACATTTTCCAATCTTTGAAACTGTTGGAAGAGGGAATACATCAGGCTTTCTATAATTCAGTGTTGCTGGTTTCAGAATTTGTTTTTCTATTTATGCACAGTATATCTGGGAACACTTGCTGGATCTTGTTAGGGAGAGGGTCAGGCACTGCAGATAAAAATGGACTACTGTCTGTGCAGACTCCACAATTATCCCTCGTCTTCCTCAATATGCATGTGGTAACCTGGGCTGGGGGCACCACAAGAGCTCTGCTCAGCAAAGTTGGTCTCTCTCAGTCGCCTTGCAGGGGAATGCAGCCTGCCTGGCAGGAGTTGTTCGTTTGGCAGGGACACATGGGCTCCTCTCTCCTCTCTAGGGGCTGGGCAGAAGGTAGGGGGAAAGGGGACCCTGCTGCCTGGCACTCAGCCTTACCTGGACATGTGCTCCCGCTGGGGTCTGTGTGCCTTCTCCAGCCCTAGTTTGGTGAAGATCCCCACCAGCACCATGACTGCTACAACCCCACAGATGATGTAGACAATAAGGTTGGTTTTATCCCGGGTAGGGTCATGCAGAGGGTCGTCTATGCGGGAAGGAGGCTTCCCAGTGTTCATCCACAACGGCGTCTCATAGTTTGTGCAGGTGCTTTGATCCAGCCTTGTCTTCTTGAACTTGCAGCAAAACCTGAAGCCACAAGTGCCACAGCAGAAGATGAACTCCCCCGAGCTGCAGTTAAAGGGGGGGTCCCACTGCCCCATCACGTCAAAGTAGCCCCTGCAGAAGTCTGGGGTGGGAGGTGGCTCGGAGGGGTCTATCTGCTCCCCGAGGCTGGAGTGGTTTCCTCCCGAGAGCACCACAAAGCTCCCCAGCTGCTGGCCAGCTTTCTCCTGAGCCCGACACACCAGCGTGAGAAGGTCCGCCACCAAGTAGCCGAAGAGCAGCCGAATAAAGCCTTCCATTCTGCCTCCCAGCCCCGGCTCAGCGATGCTGCTGCCGCCGCCGCTCGAGCTGCTGGATGCTGCGCTGCGCCAGGAGCTGAACATAAAGGGGCTCCGTCAGGAGCCGGGCGTCCGCTCAGCCCGCGCTCGCCTCCAGCACCACGGACAGCCCCGAACGGGCCGGGCAGGGTCCGCAGCCCCGCGCAGGGTCCGCAGCCCAGCCCCGCTCCGCTCCGGAGCAGCGAGCGCGCGGCACTTGTGGAGCGGAGTGCGCGTGAGAGAGAGCGCGGGAGGAGGAGGAGGAGGAGAAGGAGGAGGAGGAGGAGGAGGAAGAGGAGGACCGAGGGGTGGAGGTGGCGGCGGCGTGCGGGGCACCGCGCTGGGCTGGCAGAGGGGCGTGGAGGGGCCGCCAAGCGGGAGGGCTGAGGCGAGGGCGCTGCAGGGGCGGGAGGAGGAGAGAGGGCGAGCGAGGAGCCTCCCCGCGCAGCCTGGTGCCAGCGCCGGGGGCACCCACCTTCCGCTCCCCCGCGGAGCCCGACGCGGTCACTCGCACAACTCCCTCAGACACCCGCGGCGCCCGCCGAGCCCCGCCCGCGGCCGGGCTGCCAGGGCAGGGCGCGGGAGGCTGGACGGACCCGCCGCGGCATCCAGCCGCCGGGGAAGGGAGATGCGCCGTGGAGGGCAGGCGAGCGCTGTGCCAGCGGGGAGAGCCCAGCCCGTCCTCTGAGGCGGCCGCGGGAAGCTGCGTGCCAGAGACGGGGCTGCCCGCCCGCCTGTCCCCCACCCCGGCAGCCCCGCTGAGGGGCCGGCGACTTCTCCCTTTCTCCCTCCCTCTCTCTCTCTCACCCCCTCTCTCTCTTCCTCCCTTCCAGCCCCTTTGTGGAGCTCTCCGTCCTCGCATCAGCTCCGCCGCAGAGCCGACCCCCGCCTCGCCCCCCTCACCCGCTCCCCGCCATCCCTTACATAAGAGACTTCCCGTCCCGGCGGGCGCTCCCCACAGGTGCGTTTCCAAAAGCGCGGGAGCGCCGCCTCGTCCCCTGCCTCCCTCAGCCCGCCCCCCGCCGAGCGGGCTCGGGGGCAGCCGGCCCGGGCTGGGCTGGGCGAGTCTGGGGCAGCTCCGCGGCAGGAGAGCTCCTCTGCCGATAAGTAGAGCGCTCCTTCTCCCGGGAGCTCCTCTCCGAGCGCTCTCCGGAGACGCACTCACCTGCGAGGCAAAGGCAGGTGTCGCGGGCGGAGCGGCGCCCATGGGGCCGCACCTCCGCTAAGGCCGGGCGGGAGCGGGCCCTGCCCTGGCCCCGGCGTGCCGAGCACAGGTACAGCGGTGCTGGCAGTGCATGCTGCCGAGCAGGGCTTTGTCTGCTAAACATGAGCTGCTCCTGCACATAATTTATTTAAAAATCTCCTTATAGTGTCAGTCAGTTGGCTCCAGAGGGCACGGTGAGGTAGCGGGTTGTTTGCGAGATACAGAATTGAAATAACTTCCCCGAATCAGAGAACTGACTCTGGGAAAGACTTTTTAGTGATTCGCTCTCCATCGCTGTTACTTAACTCTCTCATCTCTGTCGTTTGGTTCGGCGGTAACCTGTGCGAGTAGCAATAATATTATCCTGAATACTATGCTGCCACCAAATGTAGGAAATAAGCCCACTATGGCGTGATTTAACAGTGTGGGCTGGTGCTGAAAGCCGCTTCCCTTTTCCTCGGTGCACGTCTGTGAGTGCCTTGCCGTGGCCTCCAGGGCTGCCCTTGGCTCTGGGCAAGGCTGCTGTGCTGGGGCTCTGCCATGCCAGGCTGCCCTCCCTCTCCCTCTGCATCCCTGGCGCTCTTCAGGAACTTGGGCCAAGTCCGTGTGGAGTTGTTACGCAGTAAATAAATGGAAAGGTGATGCAGAGGACAAAGCAGACGTTTGGAATCTGAGAGGCCTGTAGTTAGCTAATTGCAATCCTTTGCCTTCTCTTAAAAATAGACTCTAAGTACAGTGATGATTCCACTGAACATTTTGACAGTAAGCCTGGCATCCTTGTCCAGGAGGTAGGTTAGAGAGCCCCTTTTTTTCTCAGCAGAGAAAAACAATCAGTCCCAGCCAAAAACCAGCCTTTCTGGGTTTTAATATTTAATTCTTAAAACCTCCACCTCATCAACATCCCCTTTCAAGTCTCCTCTGAAATCATATCATTCCTCCCTTGTGTATACTTCTCTCTGCTATTATTTATTATTTAACACTTTGTGATGCAGTTTGTGCTGAAAATACTGCACAAAATGAATCTTTTCCATGCTTATTATTGCACCTAGAGACATTTAAGGTCCAGTCTGTCAAGCACTTAAGATTATGCAAGTTTCCCTGTTGATTTGACGGCTAAAAAGCTGCTTAAATATTTTGCATTATTAGTGCTATACATGTGTGGAAATAATAACATTCAAAACTGATTTATTTTATGGGTTCTTAATCCTGACTACATATGGTACAAGTTTCTCGTTTTGCTGAGTGTTTTGCTGAGTTCCTATAGAATTTCCTTAAGAATTCCCCTACAAAAAAGAAGCCTGAAGGATTTAGGCTAGAACCTGACCTGTGGGATTCAGGTCCATGGGATCAGAACTCAACCCCAAGTGACATGTGCTTGGGAAAAAACAGGAGGGTGATCAAACCTTCTTGAAAAAAAAATATTTTCTATAGCACCAAGAGATTTTGGATCAGACCCATGGAACCCAGAACCCATAAATCATGCTACCTTAATTAATTATAAGTTGCTTTAGTTAATCTTTCTCTGCCAGTTAGTTGTATTAGCAGTGATTTTAGCTGTACCATGTCTTAGAATTCTAGTAGTGAAATGGAGTTGTTCTAGACTGGGGCACAAACCATTTTTACTAGACCTGTGGCAGTGTGCTTTAATGGCTTCACAGTATATATTTCTAAGAACAACTGCATGACCAAAATATAAACCCACTAGTTACAATAATGGAAATAAAACTAGCTGAGAGAAATTTGTATTACACACAGTACTGAGGCACATTTTGGGTCATTGTGTGATTTTATAAAAGTTTTCACAATTAAGTCAGTCAATAAATGTCTTATTTATTTCAGTTATGCTTAACAAGTTGAGAAACATGAAAGATTTCCTGGTTTCACACCATCACGTTCCACTTTCAAGACTTCAAGAATTTCAAGACATCTCTTTTTGACATTGCTTTAAGGCAAGTAATAATTGCCTACTTTTCTACAGATTTATCCCATAAGGAATGTTCTTTGCTTCTGAAATAACTGAGAGGATGAATGTTTCAACCTGAACCTACAGAGTTCTCTTTACTCAAGTGCATATCCATTTAATTAAATGGAATTCTTACTTTAGGCACTAGGCATATACAAAATTTTTGTTATATTTTCCCTCGAATTTCTTTTACTTGTTTTCACCAAGATGATGTGAATCAATGGCAATGCTTGTGGTTCAACTTTAACCTAGAAAATAGGCACCTTTCCTGGTAAATTCAGTAGCAATGTATACTCGTGTCACCAGGAAGCTGCATATACACTAATACTTGATTTATTGAATTCTGTGTGGAACTGTATATAAAACTGATTCTTGCATGGGGTTTTTTATGTAAGTAAGAGAGTTTGAAAAAGAGTAAAATTAGGAGAGAAAGTCAGTGAGTTAACCTGAATGTTGGGGTGGTGGCAAATATAAAGAGTAGAGAAGAACTAGACCATATGGAGCAATTGCAATTATTATGTTCAAAATTCTGTATTTAATTTTTGTTTATAATAACAATGTTGATGCAAGCTTTGAGTATTTCCCTGGGACTGATTACCTGACAGAGAGAATAGTCCTTTGCTGAGCACTGAGTCAATGGAGCTTTCTAGCTAATCATTATTTCCCAAAAAATGCCCTATAGCTCAATCATTACTATTAACAGACATTCCAGAGCTGTGAATATCTATCAATAAAAAACAGCTAGAGAGGTCTGATCTCAGGCACTTTGATATGAAAGGTATCTTGTAACAAGAAATGTTGTGTGGAAATTGGAATGAAGCAGTCAACGTCTGTTTCCTTGGTAGTCATTTCATGCTGTAGTGGGGTGTCTGGGTGTAGACACAAAATGTTTTGTGGCTAGAGAACAGAAAAAGCAATGGTTCTTTTGTGCCAGATCAAGTGGCAGCAGGTTTGCAACCAGTGCCTTTAAAAGAACCGTTCAGTGGTGGAAGATGTCTGCTGGGCAGCACTAGGGAAGCTTGAGACCTGCAAGAAGTGTCTTAGCAGACATGAGTTAAAGAACTCTTTTAAGAAAGAGTTAAAGAAGTGTGTTTTACCAGGGAGGCTACAAGTGACATAATGTTTATGGATACTGAAAAAAAGTCCTATGATTCACAAATACTGTAAACACCCTGAATCACACAACACAGAAGACTGAGGTTTTTTTTAACAACCCTACATTCTTGAATTTGCATAGATCAGAGAGCCCCATTTGCTTCTACCAAGTTCTGTCATTCCTCTATGAGCAGTCCTTCCCCAGAGGTACTAGTCTTGCTGGGTGGTTAAAATGCATTTGGTTTTAGTTACATAGCAAACATTTCATAAGCCTTTTCTCTTTTAACCAATAACTGCAATCATTAATGTATCAGTACAACAGTGTGTGAAATCCCAACCTGCACTCTGTTGACACTAAATACACTTCTGCTTTTATAAATAGTGAGCACACATCTTCTAACTAACCTTTCTCTTTTCATTAAAAAAGATGCACATATAGACTAGGACAGAAGCAGTTTGTTCTGATAATTTCATGGATTCATAGCAATTTTAACAGGAACATCTCACATTGAGCACTTCTTTGTTATTGTTATCAGGTCCCCAAAAATACAATTTGCACGTAGCAAAGGAATCACCATCGAGAGATTTTAACGAGCCAAGAGGTGCTGCATGAATGGAAAACCATGAGAGACATGGTTTTACAGCTTACTGAGGAGTAATATAATTTATTGCAATTCTATAATGTAGAAATTACCTTTATAACCTAATATTTTTCCTCTTCAGTCTTCTTGTAAAACCTAAACTGTAGTAATTATGTGGGTTGGGTTTGAGGCAGGCAGTAACTGCAACCACATTTGGAGTGGACTTCATTAAATCCCGAGAGTTCTTGTAGCTTCAGCTTAATTCAAAGGAGATTAAGAAAATTCAGACAAATGTAGAAGGTAAATAGAGTACTTGAAAATAAACATACAAGAGCAAATACATGTATAGTGCAAACGTCTTCAGTATACAGCTGTGGGAAGAAAGTGCCAACAGGTCTAAAGCAGCTTCCAGCAGTGCAGCTGAAAAACGAGCTGTGCCCTCGGGTTTGCCTGTTGCACTGCTACTGCTCTGATCCTGAACAAGGAAAGCTGACAGCCAGTTTCTCTCTTTGGCAACACTGACGTTACTTTTGAATTGTAGCAGTATTGCAAGTACCAGTGAACAAGGTACGTTTCTGCTTGTTATAAATTAGACTGACATGGAATTTAGATCTGGAGTGATTGACCGGGTGTCTGAGGATTACTGCAGCTGACAAAGAAGGCTCTGCAGATCATTGCAAACTTGTGCCAGCAAAATCTTTATCTTGTTAACAAAAAAAAAAAAAAAAAAAAAAAAAAAAAAAAAAAA